TCTTCCTGTGTCCACACAGAAAGGACATTGCTTACAATACAAGTTCAGTGTCCTTAGATGGGTGTGACCTGACAAACCTAAGCTACCTGAGGAAGGACAAAAGAATGTTATCCTGGGGGTGGGGAGAATAACTGGCTTTGGGGAGGAGAGCATCTTAGGGAAGTTGGTTTTGAATTGTTCAGTAGTAGTTGGGTAAGATTTAGAAATAGAATTGGAGTTGGGGCTGGAGTGATAGCACAGCAGGTAGGGCATTTGCCTTCCATGCAGCCGACCTGGGTTTGCTTCCCAGCATCCCATAGTGTCCCCCCGAGCACCGCCAGGAGTAATTCCTGAGTGCATGAGCCAGGAGTAACCCGTGTGCAATGTAGGGTATGACCCCAAAAAAAAAGCAAAAAAAAAAAAAAAGAAGAAATAGTATTTGGGTTAATTGCTTGCCTTGTCTGTGACCACCCCTGGTTTGGTCCATGGTACTACATGGTTCCTTGAGCACCACCAGCAGGAAATAAATACTTTTTTTTTTGGGTGAAGGGGGCTCTACCCATTGTTGCTCAGGCCTACCTGGCCCCCTCTGTTCTGGAGTGGTTACTGGCAGTACTGGGGGACGTGCTGGAGACTGACCCTGGGCTCAGCTGGTAAACTCTCTCCGGTTCTGCAATGATAATTTACCACAGTCAGCCAGTCTTTGTTTTACTTTCAAAATACTAAGTAAAGTGTTTTTCTAACGGGGACAAGGTGTGTGTGTGTGTGTGTGTGTTTGGGCTTTGTGGGTCACACTCGGCGGTGCTTAGGGGCTACTCCTGGCTTTCCACTCAGGAATAATTTCTGGTGGTGCTCAGGGGCCATATGGGATGCTGGGAATCGAGCCCGGGTTGGCTGCATGCATGGCTAACTCCCTCCTTGCTCTACTATTGCCCCAGCCCCAGGGGACAAATATTTAAGTTAAAGAATTCATTTTCAATGTACATTGAAGATTTGTTGTTGCTGTTTTGGGGTCATTCCCGGTGATGTTCAGGGGTTACTCCTGGTTCTGCGCTCAGGAATCACCCCTGGAGCTGCTTGGGGGACCATATGGGATGACGGGGATCGAACCCATATGCATTGGATCATAGTTGGCTGCATGCAAGGCAAATGCCCTACCAGTTGTACTATCTCTCTGCCAGACACTGAAGACATTTTATGTTTGTCCTATTGACTCTTACTCTTTGATCAGCTTTCTAAAAAACTTTAAAAAGTTTTGGGCCATACCCACCTATGTTTATGGATCAGCACTCGTGGAACTTGGGGAACCCTGTGTAGGAGAGGGGGGTGGTGTCATAGGCTCGCTGTGAGCAGAGCAGGCAGCTTGCCCTTGTGCTGTCTCTCTGGTCTAGCAGTTTTCGGTGAAAGTTTGTTTCTAATCAGTTAAGATTTAGGTTCTTTGAGATAAAAGGAATCATGACTATTCACAAGTTAATTTGAGGAAGATAGTTTAAAGAATAAAATGAAAGTGCATTTTGTGATTGTAACTTGGTTTATTTAAGTTGCTCAGTGGTGACTCGTACTGTTAACACTGAAAGTCAGCAGTGGGGAGAGAGTGAGGCTTATAGCAGTCACCTACCTTCTTATCTGGCTTCGAAGGGAAATGTCTCCGTTCAGGCCTTTCTGCCTCCCACCTTTGTTGGACATGATCGATTTCATTTTTCTCCCAATGTTTACTTTCTGGACTAGTTGTCTAGCTAAGATGATTTTTTTTTTTCAAAAGTGGGTCTGGATAGTACAGTGGGTAGGGCGTCTGCCTTACAATTGGCTGGCTCGGGTTCGAGCCCCAGCGTCCCATAGGGTCCCCTGAGCACCACTGTCTCTCGGCCCCTGTGTTTTACTCTTTCCCGAGGAGGGATTTAGCTTGTGCATGCCTCGTGTTTCTTTCCCTTTCCTTTTCTTTTTCACCACCCTTCTTGTGGCTGGCTGCACGGTACATGGGGAGATTTGCTAATTTTATGGTCTGTCGTGTCCCTGGCCGTGTCCAGCCCCCGTGGCTGTGATCCGGCAAGGAAACTCCTCATGCTTGTCGGCGTCAGCCGTCCTCAGCCTGGATGAATCGCCGCCCCCGGGTGACAGAGGCTAACGTCTGGCCACATTTTCACTTGTTACGAGTTGCGGGTTGTGCTGCTGGCATATAGTGGACAGAGGCCCCAGATGCAGCTGAATACCTGCCCGTGCGCCAGCCAGCCCCCAAAGGGCAGCCTGCGGCACCAATTCTGCTCTGTGGGATAGGTCGGTAATCATCGTGTGAGACCCCTCAGTTATACTGTAGTAACACAGTGATTTTTCTTGATTTTTTTTTTTGTGGGAGAGTTTGGGGGTACACACCAGGCAGTGCTTGGGGTTTACAGTGCTTGGGCTCTGTGCTCAGAGGTCACTCCTGGTGGGGGGCCCCCTCTGTGGAGTGGCCTGGGATCAGATCCGTGTCAGCTGTGTGCCAGACAAGTGCCCTGCCCACTATAGCATTGTTGGGGCCCCAGAGACAGTGTCGGAGAGACTGAAGCAGACACCGGAGGGGAAGATCCCGGTTCTGCCCGTTTTCCTGCCTCGCTCCTTGGCCTTGGCCGTTTCTCCCCTGTGCTTCCCTAGGGAGGGGATGGAGAAGGCGGGGCCAGGTTGTTCCCTAAGATGGAGCATGTGCGTGTAGTCTGGGAGCACCGGGGGTCTGGTAGGAAGGGCAGGAGGGCTGTCAGGAGCACTGCTTGGAGAGGACTGTGCTGAACCGGCTAAGGGCGTTGCCTTCTCTGCACAGGCTCCCGTTGCCGCCTGCTCGAGAGATGCCCTCGCCAGCCCTCCCTCGCCGACCTGCTTTGGATTTGGGGCCACCCCTGGGAGCGCTCAGGGGATCCTTCTGGCTTAGTGCTTGGCATGGCGGTGGGAGGGGTCACTCCTGGCAGGGCTGGCCCCCTGGGTGCACAGCTTGTGCGTTAGCCAGCAACTGTACCTCTCCAGCCGTTCCCCGGTTGGTTTCTTAGTTGTGGCAGTGCTTGCTTCTAGCCAGTCTCCACAAGACCTTGATGGGACAGAGTTCTTTATTTAAAAAGTGCCCACCCTGAGGACCTGGACTGTCCCTCACCGGGTCCCTGCCTGTCCAGCAGACTGGCTGTCACGCCCACAATTTGCCTCCGGGTGCCATTTTAGCACACCAATGGCCCTGGCCCAGAGACACAGCAGTGAGTCCTGGAAGACACCACAGCGCTGGAGATCTCTCCAGGCCAGTTTCAGCGGGGCACCCCAGATGCAGCAGGTGCAGTCTCCCCGCCTACTCCAGATGGAATCCTGGTGACCAAGAGCTTCCACAAGCAAGGCTTAGGTGTATGGGTTCCTAGGACTAAATCTCCAGGCTGCATGGTGGCAGAGGACCCGGGCTGTCGCGCCCCTAGTCCCCACCAGTCCAGCAGACTGACTGTCACACCCACAGTTTGCCTCTGGGTGCCGTCTTAGTGCACCAGCAGCCCTGGCCCAGAGACTCCCAATTGAATCCCAGATGAATTAGTGCCATACAGAGATCTCTGGAATCCAATTATTTACAATCTAGACATTCACATTTACAATCGTGGCCGCGTGAGCTCTTATGATATTCAAAATGAGCAATGGAAAATGAGTTACCTTGCGTCTGCCCCTGGCAGGTAGGCTTGAATGGTGGTGGGAAAATTCAAGCAAAAGATAATGCCCCAAATTAGGGAGCGTATGGGGGAAATTGTCTGTCATAGAGGCAGGGTGAGGACTGGGATGTGGGGGTGGGGATGGATAATGGGGACATTGGTGGTGGAAAATGCGCACTGGTGGAGGGATGGGTGTTCCATCATTATATGGCTGAATCTCAAACATGAAAACTTTGTAATTCTATCTCACGGTGATACAATGAAATTAAAAATAAAAAAGTAATGCGGAGTTCATGCCCAGTTCAATCAGCTTAATCAATGGCTGAACAAATAGCAGTACTTCTACATTTTTTAAAAAAAAAACAAACCAAAAACCCCCCTTGCCCATCATGCTCCATGACCTGCAGCTTGTGTGTCTGGGGCATTTAAGTCCCCTCCTGTCCTCTGAGGATGCACCCAAGTCTCCGATGCAGACTCTCTTCTCCCAGGGATCCTGCCTGAGCCCTTCAACATCCCCCCATCGTCTCTGCCTTGTGAACTTCTGTTCACCTTTCCAGGCCGGCTCATGCCTTTCGGCAGATGGAATAAGTCTTGATTATCATGGTTGGCTTGTGCTTTGCCTCTCTCGCTGGAATCTGACTTTCTTGAAAGCCATGATGATACATTTGTCTTTAGGCTGGTGGCACAGGGCCTGGCCTCGGGAAATGTTTGCTGAATTGAGTTAACAGACAGTTCGAGCTTGTGTTGTGGCCAGGTTTTTTTTGTTTTTTTTTTTTTATTGGTGAGTAAACCTCTTAGGTGCCCTGGATTTTGATTCTCTATGATTATAGGCGGTCTCAGTATTCCAGGACAGAGACTGGGAGGTTCGGTTAGAAAAAAAAACCTTTTTGTGGAGGGCCCTGGAGCTATAGTACAGTTGGTAGGGCGTTTGCCTTGCACGCAGCCAACCCGGGTTCAATTCCCAGCATCCCATATAATTCCCTGAGCAACGCCAGCAGTAATTCCTGAGTGCAAAGCCAGGAGTAACCCTTGTGCATTGCCAGGTGTGACCCAAAGAGAAAAAAAATTTTTTTTTTAAAAGTCTTTGTGATTTGTTGTGCTTTGCAATATTCAGAAATCATGTTTCACTTACAGCATTGGCGTGCTTTTGGTCTTAACCTGACTTATGTGTGACATTTTGCTTGATCTCAGTAAAAGATCCCGTAAACTCTAAAAAGTGTAAACTGCACAGCGGCACGAGCCGCGGCTCAGCTGTGCCCTTGATCGGAAGGGTGGTTGCCAGTCACGAGTCAGGTGGGGAATCCAGGCAGCGGAGCTGGGAGTGGGGCTGGGCGGGCGGACCCTCCTCTCACCGCCCTTTCTCCCTGTCCCCAGGAGTTTTGTCCCTGAGTCATGGAAGACAGAAGCGCGGAGAAGTCATGTGACCAAGCGTGTGAATCACTGAAGAGGCAGGACTATGAAATGACCCTCAAGCACTGCACAGAGGCGCTCCGTGTCCTCGGCCAGTACTCCATGGCGGACTGCACGGGGCCGTGTCCACTGGAGATAGAAAGCATCAAAATCGAGAGTCTTCTTTATAGGATTGCCTCATTTCTGCAACTGGTGAGCAGAGTTGTGCTCCCTCCCCATGCCTGGTGGAGCGACCTCTTCTGTGGGGTGGGACCTCTTCTGTGGGGTGGGCGGCTGCCTCTGCATCTTGTCTTGTGCTGGATGGAGATGCGTGAAGTGGCCGGTGGCCTCCTGGTGGCAGGCGACTCGGGGGTCTTGTGTCTGTTTGCTTTGGGACCATGTCTGCTGGTGCTGGGAAGACCCTGCACTCGGAGGCTGAGGGTCTGAGCCCGGGCGGCTGCACTCCTGGTGGGTCTCAGGAATGACTTACTGCTAGCTCTGCACTGGGAATCGAACCCGGGTCGGCCGCATCAAAGCAAGTGCCTTCCCTGCTATGGCTCTGCCCCAGAGAAAGCTTCCTTCTTACAGTTCTTATTCTTGCAGGGTACTTATTCTTATTTTTCCTATATAGACATTAGACAGACATTTAGAAAATAAACCGTCTGCAGAAAGCAGAAGAGAATAGGAGAGACTGGGGATACAGGTGTGAAGGATGGGGTTGTGATTTTTAAGTAGAGTGGTCAAGGTGGGCCTCATGGAAGAGGTGGTTTGGGACTGAGCTCTGTTGAAACCTGCAGGACAAGCATTGCAGACAGAGGGAACAGACCTTCCAGAGCCCTGAGCTGGAAGTCTGATGTGTCTGCGGGCCCGTTGGGAGGGTGGTGAGCTGCTGAGTGCTTGGAGGGGACAGGGTCGTGGGGCTCTCCTGGTCCCCGGGGTTTGGGTGGGTTACCTCTTCGAGGTGGAGAACAGCTGTGGTTTTGAGCGGAGAAATGAGCCGCATGATCTGATTTTACAGGAATTCTTTGGCTTTGTTTTGAAAATAGATGGCGAACGGGTGAGAGTAGATGCTGGGAGCTGAGTTCTTTTTTTTTGGGGGGGGTCACACCCAGCGATGCTCAGGGGTTACTCCTGGCTTTGCACTCAGGAATTACTTCTGGTGGTGCTCGGGGGACCATGTGGGATGCTGGGAATCGAACCCGGGTCAACCGCATTCAAGGCAAACACCCTACCTGCTGTACTATTGCTCCAGCCCCCAAGCTGAGTTCTGAATTTTGAGGTGGTTGGGATCTCCTAGCTCCCAGGTGACAGTGGATTAGACCTTACTGCCATCAGTGCAGAGAGCAAGAAGTTGTTTGTCTCAAGTTGTAACTGTGATGTAGAATGTAGGGACCGTAGAGGGGGAGCAGTTCTATACTTCTTCGGCCTTACAGCATTTGGGCAATGGTGTTGAATGGACTTTTGGAAGGAACATGGGCCCTGTCTCGGGGGTCGGTGGAAGTGGGTACTGTAAACTGGGCAGATGCAGAGTGAACCATCTTCTCTGGGGAATTGACACTGAAGGCTTTTGGTTTCCTTCAGGAGAGTCATGAGCTGGGGAGGAGGGCAGAGAGAAGGTTCTGCTGATGGGTTTAAGATTCCAGAAGGAGAGAAGTAGGAGTTGGATTCGAAAAAGGGAGGGAGGCTTATGATGTTTACTTGTAGCAAGAATACTCTGTAACCCTGGCAGCCCAGGGGTTCCTCCCCTCTGCCAATATGAAGTTGCAACATTAATGATTCAGCTTTGAAACAAAGCTGAGCTTTCTGATAAATCAGCCGAAAACTGCCCTTGAACTACTTAATTTTGTCTTGTGTCTTTTATTTTGCAGAAAAACTATGGACAAGCTGATGAAGATTGTAGGCATGGTACGTTTAAAATTGGAATTTTTCTGATTGGAAGAGGTTGAACTACTTAAGTAATTTTCAGGTGGATTTTTCTGATAAGCTCATCTCCAAAGTGATTTTGAGATTTTGGTATCAATACCCGTAATAATCAATACCCTATATTACAGTGGGCACGAGTGCCTTAATTTGCATGATGACCTGCCCTGCTAACCTGTGACGGTTGTAACATGGTTCCTTTTTGCTAATGATGAAATTCCTGTCACTCACTTGGGAGCATTAATCATGTCCTTTCTCTTTAATTTTTATTTTTTAAGTTTGCTTTTTGGGCCACACCTAGCTGTGCTCAGGGTTCCTGCCTGCCCCTGTGCTCAAGAATCATTCCTGGTGCTGCTTAGGGGACTAGAGGCGGTGCACAGCCAGCTCTCTCCCCACGGTATTATCTCCTTAGTCCTGACACTGTCATTTGGAAGTCGTCTGGGGCTGGGGTTCAGCGGTGGAGTGCACATCTTGTGTATGGAGGACATGGGTTCAATCCTGGGCACTGCTCATAAAACAAAACCAAAAAATGACAAGCCAGACAAAAACAGAGGCTGGGATGTAGCTCAGCAGCTTGCCTTGCGAGGCCAGGGTTAGATCCCCCACACTGCAAGTGAAGTTAAATGGGTAACAAGAGCCAAAAGAATGGAAAGAATTGAAGAACACATTGATTTCGGTAGTGAGCTTGGGAAGACCTTTTCCTCCTGAAGTGCTTCATTCCTTCCTTTAGGTTTCCCTTGGAAGAGACCAAAGAGAATGCTCTTTGTAGTTTTTCCTATTTTCTCTTCAGCAGGAAACTGATCAATAGGATTCTAACTTTTGGTGTACGCATAAAACGGGAATTCTTTTCTTTGTGATTGCTGCTAATCCATTCCACTAAATCTAGGCTTCATGTATATTCCCACGTGCTCTTGGGAGGATCTTTGCACAGCTCAGTGATTTGGGTCATATTGTTTTCCTTTCTCCCCTCTCCCCCCCGCTCTGTTTTTGGTTCACGCCCTACAGTGCTGAGGGCTTACTCCTGGCTCTGCACTCAGGAATCACTCCTGGCTGGGTTTGAGAGATGAGATGGGATGCCGGGAATCGAACCCGGGTTGGATGGACATGTGCAAGGCAAATGCCCTGCCCCTCATTGTATGGTCTACAGCCCTAGGATAGTTTTTCTTTTTTCCAGAATTAGGGGAGTGACTGCAGTGTTTAAAATATGGGTTATTTTTAATAAATGTGCTTTTTTGTGTGTGTGTGTGTCAGAAATTTTAAAGGATTGAACTCATTGTGAACCTCACAAAACCAACTTACTGTACGCATCTGTGAGCCTTGCTTCATAAGATGACATGCCGTGGGGGCTGCTGGAAATTTGCAAGCTATTACAGTCTTTCTTGCAACACAGTCCGTCCTATGGAAAGGCATTAAAAACCTCCAACACGCCAGACACTAATCAGTCAAACAATATACAGGAACATGAAGAAGGGGGTTGCCTCCCCTCATGAAGAAATCACTGCCGTTAGTTTTGCTGTATCTGATGTAGCCTTTGTTTCTGTGACAGACATCAGTGCTTGAAATACCAACTTGGGGGTTTTCTTTCAAAAATTAAAAGAGTTACATGATCAATACAAAGCAGGTTGCTTATATTGAACCCGCTGATCATGGATGCATCTTTCTAGGATGCATCTTTCTAAGTTTGTGCACCTGTTCCTGCATCCAATTTCTGCTGACAGTCTGTGGTGTATCCATGGGGCATAACTTGCTTATCTCTCCTCCCCCCCCCATCCATATTTCTAGATACTCAACCAGTTCTGGTTTTCTAGGTTGTCTGGGGTAAGGGGTTTTAAAAAACTTGAGATCTTCCAGAGTGATAGCTTGTAAACTTGTAGGGCATTTGCCTTGTATTTGGCCAACCTGGATTTGATGCCTGGCACCACATGTGGGCCCCCTAAGTGCCTCTCCGGGAGTGACCCCTGAGCACCGCCAGGTGTGGCCCCCAAACCAACCCCCACCCCCCAAAAACGTGGCTATTGGTTGTCTGGATTAAGATAAAGGTAAAGGTAAAGGTAAAGGCCCTCCCGTTGATCATCGATTTGCTCGAGCGGGCCCAGTAACGTCTCCATTGGAGACTTTGTTGTTACTGTGTCTGGCATATCGAATACTCTCGGTAGCTTGCCGGGCTCTCCGATTAAGATGAAATGTATAAAAGTTTTATTTATTTCTTTTTTGCCCACCAACAGTGGTGTTCAGGGCCTCCTCCTGGCTCTGTGGCCAAGGAATCTCCTAGAGGTGCTCAGGGGATCATGGGATGTTGGGGACCGGAGTCTGGTAGACACACACTTGAGCCCATTGATCTGTATTTCTCTTGCCCTATATTTAGAATTTTAGATTACAAAAATCGTACTTATAAGTATATATAAAATTTCTTATGCTCTATTTTATAGGTATATATAAAAAATTTTATGTGCTACACCGTCAAGTTACACATGCCTAAGGCTCACCAAAGCCTGTCCCTCAAATCTCACTAAGGCCAAAACCTAGTAGTTTTGTTTTGTTTCATTTATTTTTTTATTGACTCATCATGAGATACAGGTAGAAAGCTTTCATGATCGGGTTTCAGTCGCACAGTGTTCCAACACCCATCCTTCCACCAGTGTACATTTCCCACCACCAGTATCCCCAGTATCCCTCCTGCCACTCCCCTCCCCCTCAAGCCTGAGTTTGTGGCAGGTTTCTTCTTTGTCTGTCTGTCTGTTTGTCTGTCTCCTTTTGGGCATTATGGTTTGCAATACAGATACTGAGAGGCCATCATGTCTGTTCCTTTACCCGCTTTCAGCACACATCTCCCATCCAGAGCGATCCCTTCCAGCCATCATTGCCATAGTGATCCCTTCTCTATCCCACCCACCCTCTCCCCAGCCTTGAGGCAGGCTTCTAACCATGGACCAATCCTCCTGGCCCTTGTTTCTACTGTCCTTGGGTGTTAGTCTCATACTATGGTTTTTTTTTTTTTTTCCATATCCCACAAATGGGCTGGAGCGATAGCACAGTGGTAGGGCGTTTGCCTTGCACGCAGCCAACATGGCCAACCCGAGTTCGATTCCTCCGCCCCTCTCGGAGAGCCCGGCAAGCTACCGAGAGTATCTCACCCTCACGGCAGAGCCTGGCAAGCTCCCCGTGACGTATTCGATATGCCAAACACAGTAACAACAAAGTCTCCAATGGAGACGTTACTGGGCCCGCTTGAGCAAATCGATGATCAACGGGAGGGCCTTTACTTTACTTTACTATCCCACAAATGAGGGCTGTCAGTTTCTCAGATGTGCACAGGACAGAATGTCAAAAACGCGAAACCTAGCAGTTTTAACGTTCTGTCTTCTGCACATGTGAGAAATTGTCCCTTCTTTTCACTTTCACTTCCTTGAATACAGGGGAGGTTGGGAGGAGAGCGTTACGTAGGTCACTATTTCTGTGCTAGGAACATGAAAATGCTCATTTCCTTTCCTTTCAGTGGCACCCAAGTGACTTGTGAAAAGCCACAGAAGAGCGAGTGCTGTTGGGGGAGATGGCGCGTTTTCTGTTAATTTGGTTTACTGAGCATCCTTAAAGCTGGACACTTTCAGTATGGAGTTATCAGAGTAGAAAGTTGAACCAGAAACTTCTAGATATGTGAACGTGTTTGTTGCCTGACTTGTGTTGAGTGAGTAACAGGAAAGTGTCCCTATATCCAAACCTGCCAGGTTGTATGGCTTAGGTGTATATAGTTTTTTTTTTTTTTTGGGGGGGGCACACCCAGCAACACACAGGGGTTACTCCTGACTCGTGCACTCAGGAATTACCCCTGGCAGTGCTCAGGGGACCATATGGGATGCTGGGAATGGAATTCGGGTCGGCCGCGTGCAAGGCAAATGCCCTACCTGCTGTGCTATCACTCCAGCCCCCTGTATATAGTTTTTAAATTTAACTTTATTTATTTATTGGCTTCTGAGCCACACACAGCATGCTTCGGGGTTACTCCTGACTCTGCACTCAGGGATTACTCCTGGTGGTGCTTGGGGGACAAGTGGGATGCCAGGGATCAAACCCGCGTGCAAGGCAGTTGCTCCTTGTACTATTGTTCTGGTCCCCTATATATAATTTTTATTTTAATTTAATTTTTTTTGTAGTTGTTTGGTTTTGGGGGCTGGAGCGATAGCACAGTGGTAGGGCGTTCGCCTTACAAGCGGCCAACATGGCCGACCCGAGTTCGATTCCTCCGCCCCTCTCGGAGAGCCCGGCAAGCTACCGAGAGTATTCGATATGCCAGACACAGTAACAACAAAGTCTCCAATGGAGACGTTACTGGGCCCGCTCGAGCAAATCGACAATCAACGGGAGGGCCTTTACCTTTACCTTTACCTTTGGTTTTGGGGGCCACACTTGGCAGTGTTTAGGGCTCACTCCTGTTCCTGAGCTCAGGGATTACTCCTGGCAGACTCAGGGGACTTTAGGGGTGCCTAAGATTGAACCTGGTTGGCCACATGCAAGGCAAATGCTCTGCCCACTGTACTCTCGCTCGGGGTCCGCCATATATAGTTTTTTAAAAATACCAATTATATCTCTGTGATTTGGGGGAAACAGTTTAGCAAGTTTCTTAGATAAAGTTGTATGAAGTGGGCACATGCGAGTGCTAGTGACTCACGAAGCATAGCACAGCGTGGTGCTCTGTCTGGACAGACCTGTGACCCACTGAATGCACTGCTGGGAGTCTGTCCCAAGCCAGGGTCCCAAAAGAAAGCAAAAGTTGTAGGTGAAGTGGGAATTATTTCAGTGCCATGTGGAGAAGTGAAAAAGAGTTTCACTTCCAGCAAGGGAGGAGACAGCTACCCCGGTCACTATGCGCTAGGAACATGGAAATGCTTATTTCACTTTAGGAGCTCTGTGTGTGTGTGTGTGTGTGTGTGTGTGTGTGTGTCTGTGTGTCTGTGTGTCCGTGTGTGTGCGCGCGTGTTTGTGTGTGT